TTATTTAAAATAAAATAATTCAGAATTAATCAGATTTTGAAGAGTTTTAAAAAGACTCCATTTATCTTAATAACATATCCGATTGTTTTTCCTTATTTAAATAAAATAATTCAAAATTAATTTTGATATGTTTTAAAATTATTTGATTTTCGTCTAAAATTTTTTAAAATACTATTTTTATTTTTTTATTTTTTGTAAAAAAATGGATGAAAAAGTCAAATTCAAATTAAAAAAAATGCTATTTTGAAAAAGATATTTTGTAAATCTTAAAAATATGGTCAACGATATCTTAAATACAACGGGTAAATATGGTCAATAATATCATAAATTATTTTTTATATTCAGATAGTTCAACTTAATTGATGATTTTTTTTTTCAAAAAATATGACGATCATATAATTTATCATATATCATATGTTTATATTGGATGTTATTAGTTTGGTTGATGACATTCATTATATTCAAATAATTAATATGTAATTTTTTTTTATTTGGTTTTTCTTTTCTAACAATAATGAGATGTCAAACATAAATAACTATGTTTAATATAAAGTCTTAGAAAAGGTTTTAAGTAAAAAGCTTGTCCGTGCATCGCACGGGATACACACTAGTTATATATATATAGATAGAAATGAAAAGGCATAAAATGAAAGAATATCTAATTCCAATTCTGTTGCACAATAACATTCTCAAACAAAATCCATTACGGAATCACAATATGTTGAAAGAACTAGCAAAATTGACGTTCCAATATATATTGGAGAGTGATACGTGTTTCTATTCTAATAATTTATAATTGAATATATTATCACTTTGTTTTTTCGTCCTTTTCGTGGGTAGCTTAGAAAGCAGTTGATTCATGCATGTATAACAATGGCAGAAGAAAATTAAAAAAAATAATTTGGAAGGACAGATTAGAATACTATAGATTGAGATTAAGAAGGATAGATTACAATCTTATAGATTTGGATTTTTTAATATAATTATAAAAATATAAAGGTATTTTAATTTGTTCAAATTTTTATAGAACAATTTCTTATTTGTAGTAGTAGAGAATAAATATAATTTGAAAGATTCATATAGATATAAATATAGATAGTTAATATAAACTAGTGCAATACCCGTGTATTACACGGGTGTTGAATTAGAAAGTTTTTGTAAAAAATATTAATTTTTTTATTTTTTTAAAAAGTAAAATAATTTAATTTTATATAATATACTACTTTGGGTTTTAATTAAATTGTCAAATTATATTTTTATAATCATAATAAGTAAACACATGTACATTAAATAAAAATGTCAACCCGTGTTGAATTTGTTTACTTATATCATATAATAATATCGATATTGTTTACTATTACATAATCACAAAAATATATATCTTAAGTAAATAGAAATATTATGGTGATATGTATATGCATAAGTGCAGAATATGTTTATTTAATATTATGAAAAATATAATTGATAAATAATTTTATTTTCTAATTAATTGTAATAAATAATTTTATTATTATTATAAAGATAAATATAATTTATTTATTTTATATATACAATATGTATATGAAAATGTCAACCCGTGTTGAATTTTTTTACTTATATCATAATAATATCGATATTATTTACTATTACATAAGTACAAAAATATATATCTTAAGTAAATAGAAATATTATGGTGATATGTATACGCATAAGTGTAGAATATGTTTATTTAATATTAAGCAAAATATTAATTGATAAATAATTTTATTTTCTAATTAATTTTAATAGATAATTTTATTATTATTGTAAAGATAAATATAATTTATTTATTTTATATATACAATATGGATATCAAATCGAAGCTCATCAAAAGATGATTAATTTGATATATTATATATGTAAAACCGATAAGAAATACAAAAGTGATCAACTTTTAAAATATATTTGCAATTCAATGGTTATAATAGGAAATGATATTAAAATACAATTAATACAAATATTAATTTATATCCAAGCCTAACTTCAAAGCATGATTTTTTGCTAAATAGGATTCCAAAGCATGAGAATTTGTGACGTAGGCTGATTATACACAGAGGGCATAGGTAGAAAGTGCTTTTATGTTTGTTGTGACTAGTTGATGCAGCCATGAACAATGATTGTGATGTAATATAACAGGTAATTTACCAAAAGAGCTGAATAAGTTGGCATTTCTCGAGGGATTTTTCGTGGGCAGCAATCAATTGTCCGGATCAATCCCACCGTGGATCTTCAACATATCAACTTTGAAGATTTTAGGACTCAGAGCTAATCGTTTCTATGGAATTCTTCCCCTCTCTCCCGAGCTCTCTCTTCCAAATCTCGAAAAATTGTATTTGTCGAGAAATGAACTCAATGGGGAGATTCCGATTTCTATCACCAATGCTTCCAATTTAGATCTATTGCAATTGGCAAATAACTCATTCAGTGGCACCATACCCAACTTGGGCAGCTTAAGGCTCTTACGGACACTTCGCATTTGGGGTAATTCTCTCAGCGGATTAGGATTTATCTCTTCATTATCTAATTGCCAGTTTTTGGAGGATTTAGAGATTTCGTCCAACCCACTTAACGGCATCCTCCCTGATTCCATTGGGAATTTATCAAAATCTCTTACAATTTTCCAGGCACATTTCTGCAACATTTACGGAGTTATTCCTTCTACCATCGGAAAACTGATTGGTATGCAACATTTAGATTTAGGAGGAAATCAAATCACAGGAGTTATACCTCCAACATTAGGGAAATTAAATCGGCTTCAAAGACTATTTCTTGATGGCAATCAACTGCATGGGTTTATCCCTCAAGATATTTGTGGACTGACTAATATGGGCGACTTGTACCTGCACGAAAATAGCCTCGCAGGTCCCATACCTGAATGCTTCGGTGAGCTTAAATCCCTAAGATATATCTACTTGGGTTTCAACAAGTTGAATTCCAGCATACCTCTCAACTTCTGGAACTTGAAGGACCTTGTGTTTCTCCACTTGTCCTCAAACCGTTTGAGTGGTCAACTTCCAAATGAAATTGCAGGTTTGAGACAACTAAATGAACTAGATTTGTCCTATAATCAATTTTCCGGAGACATTCCAAGATCAATCGATAGTTGCGAATCATTAACGTTTCTAATTTTGTCGGATAATAAATTTGAAAGATCCATTCCTCCATCACTGGGGAATATTAGAGCCTTGAGGGATTTGGATTTATCTAACAATAATCTTTCGGGGCTGATCCCGGAGTCCTTAGAGGGCCTCAAATTCCTTCAATACTTTAATGTGTCTTACAACAAATTGGAAGGAATGATTCCCACAGGTGGCCCTTTTGTTAACATTACTGCTCAATCTTTTCTTCACAACTCTGCTCTTTGTGGAGATCAGAGATTTCAAGTGCCTCCATGCACTGGGAATAATCTCAGGAATTCAAGACTAAAGAAAGTTAATCGGCTGATGAAGTATATTGTGCCTCCATTCATTTCAGTTATCATATTAACAGCCATTATACTACTTGTGTTGGTGAGGACACGAAAGCCAAAAAGTGGGCTTGCTCCTGCTGATGATGTTTCGCTTGGTGTTACTTGGAGAAGAATCTCATACATACAACTTGTTAGGGGAACTGATGCCTTCAGCGACACAAACTTACTTGGAAACGGCAGCTTTGGTTCGGTTTTCAAAGGGGTGCTTTCTGATGGACTAATTGTTGCAGTGAAAGTCTTCAACTCGCAATTAGAAAGAGCTATCCGCAGTTTTGATACGGAATGTGAAATACTTAGCAGCATTCGACACAGAAACTTGGTCCAAATAATTGGTTGTTGTAGCAACACAGAATTCAAAGCATTGGTTCTCGGGTTCATGCCAAATGGCAGCCTCGAGAAATGGCTGCACTTGGAAAACTGTGTCTTGGATTTGATATCAAGGCTGCAAATTGCAATAGATGTTGCATTAGCTTTGGAATATCTCCATCATGGCCATACATTCCCGGTCGTTCATTGTGATATAAAGCCAAGTAATGTGTTGCTTGATGAGGATATGGTTGCCTGCCTCTGTGATTTTGGGATAGCCAAGCTCTTTGATGATGGGGAGAATATTGTTCTTACAAAAACCATGGGGACAATTGGTTACGCCGCACCAGGTTACATTTTTTATTATTGCGATAGAAACTTTTTCTTTTTCAGGTTTAATGTAACTACTCTTTACTAAATTTAAAAAATCATTCCCAGATTAAGTTGTTTATTCAAAATTGAAAAAATCTAAACTAATTCAATGATAATGTCGTGCTTGTGATACCATTAGAGTATGGATCAGGAGGTAGAGTGTCAACAAGTGCAGATGTTTATAGCTATGGCATACTGTTGCTGGAAATGTTCACGAGCAAGAAGCCAACTGATGATATTTTCAATGAAGAGATGAGCTTGAAGGATTGGGTACTTGAAGCTTTACGAGAAAATGCAGTAGCTAAAATCGTGGGCCCTAATTTGCTAGCAAGTGACGATCAGCATTTTCATGCAAAGGAAGAATGTGTCTCGTCTGTCTTTGGTTTGGCAATGAGATGTTTGGTTGTTGTGCCCGATGAAAGGATTAACATGATGGAAACAACAGCTACAATGCAGAGGATAAAATCCAAAGTTGTGGCTGTCACTACAAGTCGTCAACAATATGCGTTGGCCACTATTTCGAGACAATAGGCATTGATATATAATAGGGCATTGTTTCCAATAGTATGTTTACAGTGTGAAATAAAGACGGTGGCATATATGAGCAGGTAGTTATTATGTTCCAGACTGTGATGTACTACTTGTAATAAATAGGCTTTCTACTCGGATTTAATCAAATGAATCAAAACTTTTATACAGTTACAAGTACCTAAAGGCATATTAAAATGAGATGTCATTGCTGTAGTGGAGAATCTGCTAATTACCACAGCACACAAGCTCAAAATGTCTCTTAGATGATTTATACAGTAATTTTATTTTGAGGAACTTTTCTGCATCCCATGCCATTACTGCCTGAGACCGAGGACAAGAGAAGGCTCTAATTTGATTTCAAAAAATGGACAATCTACTTGGGGCTTGGAATATATTATAGAAGGTTCTGAAAGGCTTTGAGATACTATTAGATCTATAATTTTCAAGATAATAACTAAAACTATATGATTATGACTCTACTTTCTGTTACCATATCTAAATCCGATGGGTGTTCGAATGCATTCTCGTTGCCTGGAGATAGACTTTAAAGACAGTGAAATCAAATCAAAATGTTACATATATATAATTCCTAAGTAACTAATTCTGAGATTCTTTGCCTGGAGATAGACTTTAAAGACAATGTAATCAAATCAAAATGTTACATATATATAATTCCTAAGTAACTAATTCTGAGATTCTTTGCGTTCATTGGACAACAACTTTCAACAATTAAACTCAATTTTCCTTCAGGCCCTTTTCCATTTCAACATTTGTTACACCACTTCATTTTCAAAAACAGTCTCAACCACCCAACGGCTTCTTCATCCACTCCCTTTCACTCCTCTTCTGAATTCAGACTCCACACTCTGCAGCCACTCCACAAACTGGCTTCACATTCTTCCAAATCTACGACTCTTTATTCTTTTTAGGTGCGTGCCGTCAAAATTTATATTTTATTTATCAGTAATCATAATGTTTAAGACATGCCTACAGAAGTATATATAATATCAAACAAAACAAAACCAAACAAAATAATTACTAGGTACTCTTCATCTTTCCTAAGCATGCAGGTTTTTCACTGGAATAACTTTCATATTCCAGNTATTCATGCCATAATCTAAATTTAAGTACAGCCCAGAGTAGTACCTTTGCGAAAATGGCCCTCTTCAGAGTGAAGTTCTCCAGCAGGCCCGCCAGCTAGGAAGTGTAGTGGGCCCGCGGGCCCGGTCAGGACCCAAGTGGTGCCTACAAGCAGGACAAACATAAGCATAAGACCCCAAAAAGTTGGATGAATTAAAGATACCAACTACATAAGATAGAACTTGACTAGTGTAACCAACAGTAACACATAAAATGTCTCCCTTACAGAAATTAGTTTCTACGGGAACACTGTCCATCTGCAACATAGAAGCTTACTATACAAGCGACAAATGAGGATTTCAGGAAATCATCAAAGATTAGCCATCATAGGTGAAAGTAAATTTTCAAATGTATTTGTTTGTTAAGATGCAGTCGCAGGTTAATGAACCAAAAGATTTTATTCACCAAACTGTTGTCCTTTCAAGATGTATTCAAAGAACGAATGTTGAGGTATAGTTGCAGGCTTTGTTTGGTAAAACTAGCTGATAAGCTAGCTTACAGCTTATATGTAATTTTCGAGCTTATAGCTTATAACTTATGACTTATAGTTGAAAAACTAGCTTATATGATAAAAGTGTTTGGTAAAATTAGCTAAGCTAGCTGGAATAAAAAAATTCAACTAGCTTATTTGAAAAGGTAGCTAATGAAGTTTATGAAATAAGCTCGAGCTTTTTTAAAAACTCGTCTTACTAAACGTTGCTTATTTGAATACATAAAACATATAAGCTAACCAAATAAGTTATAAGCTCTATAAGCTCTGTCAAATAAGCATCAGATTTTTGCCACAAAGAGATGACATTTAAGATACCACATAAGACGAACAACCCATAGGCATCACTAAACCACACAAACAAAGCCATCAACCATAGAACATGAAGATCAAAAATCACCATCTGCCATAAAAACATACAAGCTTCGAGATTAGCCCTAACAGATTATCTTCACACCAGAATCCATAATTACTCAATAGAATACAGTACACATACAGAAATGCTGTTGAAGCAAACTCCTCGAAATTTAATAAATTAACCATCTCAGCATACCTAACGGAAAAAAGAAACAATTCCAGAAAAGCAATCTTTAAGGCAAAAGGCAAGCTTCTTCAAAGCTACAGGCAATGAAGCTAATTTCCACTCAACAAACGAAAGGTCAACTGCAAATCAAGGCAAAAAAAACTTCTTTTATTGATATGCACAGATAAACAAGTGATTCTTTTTACATTCGCGAGCTAGCTTTAAGGGTGTGAATAGAAGTAGAAAAAGCAGCGACAACAGCTTCTGAAGCAGCTGGAGTGAAAATACCGAAAAGGCCTCGCCGATTTGCAGGATTTGAGGAGGGAATTGGGGCAGCTTGTGAAATTTCCATTGGAGGGCTTTGCTGATAGCTTCGGGTGCGTACTGCCTAGGAAAGAGAGATGGCCGGTGCCTGTGAGAAGCTACACTTAGAGTCGCACTAAGCTCAGAAACGCTTTTTGTTATCTCAAAAAGTTG